TGGTAAGCCTTCTAGGGCCATGGTGGAGTTTATCACTCCACTACTGATGAGGATTGATTGTTGCAAGGGACTTGTAGTGAGAAGTATCAGGATCTCACTGATTTAAAGATTGCATTCAGGTTCTGTCTCATTGTAAACAGGTAGCTTCACTAACCAGAGATCTTAGAGAATGAGAAGAAAATGGACATGTGTGTTTTCTGGTGGATATAGGAAAGTGGAGGAACTTGCTTTAAAGAAATCTGATTTAAACTTAGATCCAGGGGCTTTCTCATTTTTTTATTGCTGCCTTCCTACATCTATAAGGTCGCTTTTCATGGTCACTTCTCTATGAAAACCATGATTGTTCCCCTAAGCAGTAATCATTTCAAAACAGTAATATATATGTCCAGTGGTTGGGCCTTTATTTTTGTTTTTGTGACTATAAGGAGGAAAAGACGGAATACTTTGTTATTCAATAAGTGCTACATCTTCACCTTGTTACTAATTAATTTTTGCACAGTGGTTGGAAGTCGTTGGTTTGATCACATAAGAGGCTGGTATGAACACAGACATGACTTCAATATTCAGTTCATGAGTTATGAAGATATGAAAAAGGTAAAATAAGAAGTATTTTTAAAATTTCATTTTTGTAAACGTTTTTTTTTTCTCCTGGTTTCAGGAAAACTCATTCTCCTAGTCATTTATGGAAATACATATTTTGTAGGCTTTTGAGGGTAAGTGGGGGTTCTAATTTCCTGCTTATCCATTAATTACTGGTTTTCCTCAAGGGTTGTTCTCAGTCACCATTATTATCATGTAACAACTGTAGCATTAAAGGCAACCTCAAATATCTAGGATACCAGTCTTTGTAAAACATTTTTATTAATATTAATTACATATTAATGGATTTTGTTTTCTGATTTCTATATGACCATACAGTATGTACTGATCATATCCAATCTCTCCTTCTTCCACTCTCTTACCTCCCCTTTGCCCTGGACCCTTCAGAGGCCCTAGTATTCATGATTCTACTTTCAGTCAATATTTGTTGTTGTTCTCATGTGTGCTGCTTGTGCTATTTATCTTTCTATGTCTGGCTTATTTTAGTAACATCATGTTTTCCAGTTCCATGAATTTTGCTGTAGAATTTCATTTTTTATATCTGAATAATAGTCCAGTGTGTGTGTGTGTGTGTGTGTGTGTGTGTGTGCGAGCGTGATAATTTCTTCATCTGTTCATCTGTTGATAACACCATGTAGGCTGAATCCTTATTTGTTGTGAATAGCGGTACAATAAACATGGGCATGTGAGTTGTCTCTTTTATGGTGCACTGTTTCTTTTTGATATATACCCAGGAATGTGCAGTTGGATTATACCGTAGTTCTGTTTTTAGTTTAGTTTTTTTTTTTTTTGAGGATACACCAAACTGTTTTCCATGGTAATTATCTTAATAAAGTTCATCAAGGAGCACTAAGGCACTGAGGCATGAAGTCACTACTAAGARAGGATAATTATTGCTGAAGATGAGGGTGAGCCCTGTGAGGCACGTTCTTCCTGTAAAGAGAAATCTTAAAAACTAGTTCTCATGTGAAGTCATAGAATGCTTATATGCTGGTTAAAGATTCTAAACTGCCTGAAAACTTTGTGTAATTCAAACACAAGACAGGTGAAGCTTATTGTTCTGTGGACTCTGGTTGGTATGTTGATTCATTAATACATCATCTATTTAGTTACTTTAAAAAAAATCACTGAATGATTGCTCTGTGCCTTGCACTGAATCATGAGTAATAGAAGAMTGAATCTTTTATAGACAGAACTCATAATCTGTCAGGGAAAACAAGTAATCACCAAGCTAGTATATGTATTTCAAAAGTAATAATTGCAAATATTAAGGAAATGTCTAATACAATGTCAATGTGTATATGTACTGACGGTATCTAATATACTCAAAAGTAATGGTCTTTTTTTTCTTTCCTGAATTAAAGAACATGGGAAATGCAAGCTAATAAATAAGAGCTAAGTGAAAGAAAAAAAAAAACATGGGAGAGACTTATAAGATAAGAAAAAAGGAAAGTACATGAGACCTTTGAGGACCTAAGAGAATAACTTGAACAATGTGGGAGAGATGAAAGTTTAATATAGGCTGGTTTTATAGGAGCCAGATTTTATAAGATCTGTAGGCTATGTTAACGAGAGTGATTTCTTTAATGTTAAAAGTAGTAAGGAGACTCTTAAGAGCTGTTAAGAAGGGTAGCCATAGGTTATGCTTAATATTTTTGAATATTATTTACATTTATGAGTTGAAGAGRAAAAATAGTGAATATAAGGAAACCAGAATAGACAGAGACCAGTGTATTAATCCACTGAACATCGGTGGTGGCTTGRATTGGAGTAGTGTCATTGTGAATGAAGAGAATACAGAGTTTTGAGGCACAGTTAAGATGTAAAAAGAAAAGGGATCATCTTCTCTAACTCCATCCATTTACCTGCAAATGCCATGATTTTATTGTATTTAATTGYTAAGTAATATTCCATTGTGTATATATTCCACATTTTTTTATCCATTCATCCACTTAATGGCATCTAGTTTGGCTTCACAGTTTAGCTATTGTAAATTGTGCTGATATAAATATTGATGTGTCTGTGCCCCTGTAATATGCTGTTTTTAAGTCCTTTAGGTATAGTGGGATAGCTGSATCAAATGGTCATTCCATTCCCAGATTTCCAAGGAATCTCCATACTGCTTTCCATATTGGATATACCAATTTGCAGTCYCACCAGCACTGTATGAGTATACCTTTTCCCCACATCCTTGCCAACACTTATTGTTGTTTCTCTTAGTAATAGCTGCCAATTCTGACTGAAGTGAGATGCTATCTTAGAGTAATTTTGATTTGCATTTCTCTAACTCCTAGTGACGATGAACATTTTTTCATATATTTGTTGATTGATTATATATCTTCTTCTGAGAAGTGTCTGTTCATGTCCTTGGCCCATTTGTTGATT